GTAGCAGTGCGTCACGTCAGAATATTGTTTAAAATAAAATAGTCAATCCCAGCCAAATCTAGGTCAAAGGGTCAGATTGCGTGCATATAATTATAGATAGTTAAAACAAAAAGTATTTGAACTTTTGACGGTTGTTTAACATCTATGTACGGTTACTAAACTAGTAACCGTGATCTATGAAAACCATAAAATTGTTAGTAGTCCGAATTTTTGCACAGTCGAAAATAAAGCGGAAATTCAACAAGCGGTCGCAAAAGCGAGCGATTGAAAAGCGGAAGCGGGCGAGAGGTTGGGCGAAATGAGTTCTGTACCTCTTTGTTTGATGAAGCGATGCTGATGCCACATTGTCGCCATAATGAGGCCACAATGAAGCGAAGCGATAACCGCCTAACTTTTTAATGTCGCGACATTGAAGCGATGCTGAAGCCATAACAATGCCATAATGATGCGATGCTGAAGCAAGGTGAAGCTGAAGTGAAGCCAAAGCTTCCGCGAGAACTGTACTGTAGCTTCAAGAACCAACTACTAAATATTGACTCTACTTAACCTTTCAAATTAGTAGCCCCTATTAGACTGTCCATGAAGGTAAAAAAAGGAGACTGAACTGGTTTTAATCCTACTTGAGTCTTTTGTTTTAAGCTGATTATTCTTTTGTGTTTACGCGCCTTTCATGTCGATGACTTCTGCCGGCTGCCGTCACACTGATTATTCAGCCGTCATCGTCTTCCTAAGGTGTAAGGATCATTTTAGTTCTGCACAGTTGACGTCAAAGGTCGGTGAACATGCGCGTAGCGGTAATTATGAAAGAGTGTCGTCAGTTCTACAGGTCTGCGTTTCGGTCATTGAAATCGGACAGGTTTTCAGCAAGTTATTACAATTTATGCGGTTCTCATAATGTCAAAAACATTGCTCACAAGAAATTGATTTTAAAATAAAATACTCGGTTGCGGACGATAAAATTACCACCATTATATAGTGTTTTTCATGTACTTTCCAACAAGCTTGAATTGAAGTGCGAGCTCCCGTGGCCAAATTCACAATCACGTTTTTCATTTTCGTTCATCTGTCCTACTTCCTGTGTGGGCCCTCATAGACAACACATGTTTTGTATAAACGACACGTTAGATTTGAGCTCCGGTAAATTTTATTTATTTTCGTCAAATCTTTGCCTGTGGACGCCGAAATTTAGTTCAATAGTAAGCTAACCTCTTCTACGTCATGGTAGGGTAGGTGCCAATAACAGCATATCACGGCCAAACCGGCAATCGCCGATTGAATTTGACATGCTTTGCGTTGCTTTCATTTGTGTTGTTAGGGGATAGTTAAATTGTGCCAGGTTGAAGGTTAATGATATTTTGTTCCCTGCTACAGGTTTCCTTCACAAATACTTATGTAATACACAACACCAATTTAGCCGTTACTGAGTAATTTTGACCATGTTTTTTTCCCACTTGAGTCTTTTTAAGAACAATTTTTCGCCTCTCACCTCGCTTTGCAATAACGGTCGAACTCATCCCAGAACGTCCGATCATATCTAATTAAATATTCACGTCTAGTAATCCCCCGGTAAACCCATCAAGTGTTAGCTGTTGACCAAATAGTCGGCAGAAGTCATGGTAACAATCGCATGCAAAGGGAGTTCTCTCTCCTTTTTTTAGCTCCATTGTGTACGTTTAGCACTTGTGTACGTTCTGCGCATGTGCTAGTGTGCAATAATAGATCGTTCACACTCTTAGATGAATTACTGGCGATGTTCGCTGCTGTTGTTATTACATA